TTCATCTACATTTGTATATTCGTATATGTATTTACCTTAAATGTTCGATATCCAATATCTCGTATATATATAATTATATATATGACCTCGGCAATCGATGTACTGTACTGTCAATTTCAAAACATGATTAATGGTTTATATACGGCACCCCCATCTATGTATTGCCATCTACATATTTYTGAATTGAATAATATTATAATATTAACATTAAATCTTTAAGATAGTGAATGACACAATACAACTGAGTTACAAATCAATCGTTTATTGACATCAACAAACTAAAGGCCCTTGGTAAATCATGCAATGCAAGTTAATTACTTGCAGCACTTAATTCTTGCGCTATAAGCTACTCATAGAAATACATTTCCAGACRTCGCGGTCTTGTAGATTGAAGCTATATACTAGCTGTTTCAAAGAATGTTAAAATCTGCGAAATCTAGCCATWAGACCCATTTTCGAACCGGTTTTTAATAGGCTTATAGCTTTATATATATAATGTTTAYATAACTTCAAAAAATACTCTAACTATATTATAAGTGCGTATAAAGTGCGTATTTATATGCACGATCAATGCAGGAATCTAGTRTAGTTAATCTTAAATTGTAATTAAGATCATTAAGGTACTATATACCCTTGCGGGATCTCCCCATTATTACATAATTAGTACAGTGTRAGATCAGATTTTATCCAAGCATTTGTTTTAAACCTGGCATACGTTGTGCCCATTAGGAAAATGGGACWGCTCTTTTWTAAATATTAAGAGTCCGCAAACATAGCAGTTRATATTCGTTGTGATAAAACAGGCGATGTGAAATGGCTGCAAAAGAGTTGATTATGGTGAAGTACAATCATCCCAGCTGATGAACCTAGTGGAAATGTGTTCATGCATATCTGCGCCATTTGTCTCTCATTTTCGGTGCCATCATTATGTTATAGATCAAGCCGCCAACAGCCACAAAACTTGCTGATTGTGAGAGCKGAAACAGRCRGCCCAAGCAGGCAAAAGATCCTTCGAATTCCCCCATAGGCAATGAGAAAACTTTATATATGTACAACATTTTCAATTTTATTTCAAAGGTCATGAACCATTGAGATCCCGCCAGATGCATGTTGAAGAGGAAAATTCATTAGAGTTTTTTGACACTGCTTCCATCTTTTTTAAAAATCGAGTATAAGCACCTTCGTTTGCTTCTTCGCTGACTTTGAACTTAACATGATACCTTAATGCACCTATCAATGTTTTGCCCCAGGATGGAATTTGACATTTTCGATTTTTAAAATTCAAAATCCCTATCCCTGGTCCATTGGTATCGAACAACTTCCCGGCCATCCGGACGAAAAAAAAGTGTTTCATACTAGATTATTGCAGGTTATTGAGCTATGAACAAAGGGACAAATAATGACTGAATGTTAAATTCATTTTTGTCATGATAAATCAAGTGAAAGTAGTTTGATATTTACCTTCTCCGCACAAAGTGATCTCGAGGTGCGTGAAACGCACCATTTGACTTCTGGATAAAACTAGTTTCCAGGATTACTCGGCATTCAAAATGGCGCCCAYTAGTTGCAAATTTTCCGTGTCAAATTTCCCCTCCCCAGAGATTCAAATCGAAATCCCCTCTCCAGGGATATTTTAAAAATCAAATCCCCGGGGTTCGCCCGCCCCCTCAACAAAATAATACTTTTTCATTGGTCAAGAGGAGARCAATYACAGTGTTCATTGAGTAGTATTCCTTATAAAATTTTGTTTCACTGAATGTATACCATAACCAAAATATCGCACAACCTCTCATGCAATTTGGAATTAATAGTCAGTCKTAATGTTTTGAAAGTAATTCTCGATAGCCTATTTGCGAATTTCGCCCCAGTATAGTTAAACACAAAAGAATCAAGACGAGGCGCCGTGCACAAAGCTCAGTCAATCGTGAAACACTATTGTCTTTTCACGAACGMCTTTATGCACGGCGCCTCGTCTTGATTCCTTTGTGTGTGACKTTTGAGRCAAAATTCACAAGTCGGCTATTACGAGTGACTATTAACTCCAAATTGCAGTACTCAAGCTCATGCGACTTTCCCTACAAATTTGATAGGAGTGTTAGAATGCATCAGCTGTAGGAAACCATCTTTGGGTTGGCGACGGAGATCTCCTTAGTATCACTATATTTAWATCATTTTTCAAGAACGAAAAAGAAGTAAAAACGGCGACACAAGACAACATAAATCATCACATAACACAAGATCTAAAACTTTATGTACATTAAAAATCTTGTAGTAAACAACAAAATTTATAAAAGTTTTTTTTTATTCTTATTCTTATTTTTATTCTTTTTTATTCTTATTGTGKATCTACTACTGGCCATTCAGATCCTCCTGAGTGTAAACCATCAAGTCATTTTATATCTCATCGAAGAAAAACATTTTATGACTTATCAACTAACCCAATAAAAAAAACTAAAAAAATATCTTCTTGTTCGTGCCCACTCCGTCGCGCCGCCGATTAAATCACTTTGTACAGCGGATAGTTGCTAACAGTAACTGTCACTCATGATGATGTCATCGGCGCCATTTTGAATGAATTAATTATGCCATTACTTGTGCCTGCTCAATGTATTACTACCAGCAGTAAGTTGTGCATATGAATACGAACATTTAAGGATTTAAAAAGCAATTAAGGATATCGCATTCCCAATTCATTTAAACATGTTTAAAAGAAACTCATTTTTCTAGTTAAAATTCAAAAACGCATKTTTAAATCATTTGTTTATAATTTCCGACGACCAACTTCTAGCCCCCAATACTATAGCGCCATAAAACCACACCTCCTTTTAAAAAGCAGGGATTAGCGCGCTGGATTAGAAATAAGTACTTTGTTGCAATTGCMTTATGAAAACAGTAGCAACCCAAGCAAGCTGCATGGATGTAAATATTGAAAGGGGGTGACTATGGTTATAAATACATAACCAAAAGAACGTAAACTATATAAATAAGCGAAATTTCATTTCCTCGAGAGAGAAAAATAATCTTCTTCTAGTTAGCATTCAAGGACGCTAACACTCACAAGTTTGGTTTTAAACAAGCAACAATAATAGTTTTWAAGGACTTAAAAACATTTAAACTTATATTACTATTGGTATTTAACACAAACTTATATTTGAGTTTTCTCGTTTTCTATACATTTTGAGCGCGAAACACGACAATGAACTCCCTGCATTTCATCTCGCATTGTGCTTGATTGGAAACAGATCTAGATAACGAAGTAATAATCAATTTTAAAAAAATAACTTTTAAGATTAATTAAAAATCTTGATTACCCAGCCAAGGCATAGCATTAATTAACAATTAATACTGAAGTATCATAATTATTTAACACCATTGAGCTTAAAAAAAGCTTTAAAAAACACCAACTGTTTTGGACTGATTTATGAATTTAATTCATCATTCACGTCTTCTTTTATATGAGTAACAACGTAACAACCATCATAACTTTTGCATCGTCTAAACCCTTGCCGAGTTCTTGTCCTCCATCACATTCCACTTGAGAGGCTAAAGTGAGTAGAAATAAATTTCCCAGTTTAAAGCTGAATCATATTATCTTGTTTTTCAAACATCGTTTTAATAGGGGCGTGGTTTTAAATATTTCTTTTTTTTTTCTAATGACCTTGCATAAAAAAACTGACAACACGATATCATATTAAATGTCACAAGGATATGAATAACTCTACTACTTCATTCTTCATCTTCATTGAACAGCAGCAATCATACCATCTTGTTGTATACCATCTTGACGTCGCAATGCCGTCTGTTTTTTTTTATGGATCTGTAAACGGATATTTTCCTTTATRGACGTCTGCAGTCTAGCCACTTTGTCTAACCTGGTCGCGTAGCAAAACCAGACACAGTAGTGAAAATCTTTGTATCACTACTTGCCAGGCAGATTTTTTGAAGAAATGGAAATTAATATCCTTTAGTCGCTTAAAATCTAGTTAGAATGCAAGCTAAAAATTTTTTACCATGACGACCGATTGGACTGCTGTAGTCAGACAGCGTCATAGTCCACAAGGCTGGAAGACGGTTGAATTTTAGTTTTACTTTCTTCAAGGAACTGTTGAAACAAATGCATTAACAAAGTTGGTATTACTGACAATCCTCGGTCTCTTGTTTGGTGTATGACCTTTAAGTTGAAAATAATGGTCACATGGGAGAAACAGCTAGTAAGGTTGAATTTAATAGGGGGATTAGTCTCCATCTTTATTTTGATCCCTAAATATTCAAAAAAGAGCTGATTTTTAAAAAAATATGAGAATGATATATAATAATGATATATAGTTCCAATGGCATGAAAGCAAGCGASACTTATCGAATTCTGTGCCGTCTTTTTATTTTTTTATTTGCATAAAGTATTGACCTTGATTGATTGCATCCTTGGCAACACCTCATTTTTGCAATGCAATTCCTAGTCCAGAACTGGACCCTCCCGGATCTATTCCTGAGTAAATCCCACAACGTTGCGAGAGGTATCAGAAAGCCAAAAATACCTTGTAACACTTATGAGATATGAAACGCGCCTTCAGTGCTTTCACGAGCTAATGAATCAAAACAGTGTGTTTATAGGAGAATTTGAATGAAGATCAGTCCAAACGCGAAACCCTAGGTCGATCGCGTGTTCGATTCTTCTTGACAACAAGTTTACTAGTGTAACAACAKCAAAAAAAAAGTCAAACTCGTTCCTATAAGACCCTATAACAACGAATATCTCTCATAGATTTTCTTAGGGATCCACTACATTTGGTATTTTAACAACATAGTTGGAGAAAAGTAGTACTTTTGTGATTGAGTCCTCGCCTAAAAAAACTGAGTTCGTGCTCACATGATAATAAATAATTAATATTAAAATTGCAAATTAAACCTACTTGATTATTTCCATTTTCATGGTTACMATAAATGTTGACTATGCATTCATACTGCCACGTATAAAACTAGCATTAGCTATCATTTAGATAGTATATAGGAGGGGAAAAAAAGGTGTAAAATATCGYGGTCAGTGTTGACACTTCCAACCTTTTTCACGCTATCAAAGGTAAAAATCATGCACTTGTCTTAAAGTATAGTATTTCGATACTTTTGTAGAGTTTGATGCTTCTCTTTTTGCTTTGGTTTCTTTTTTTGTTTTGTTTTCTTGAGTTTTGTTTCCTTTTTTTCCTTTGCACTTCTCTCTCTTTTTTTTTCTTTTTTACACTTGATCATTTTCATCGACTATGACGTGTGTTTCATTAGTACTTGACTGGCAAGATACATTTGTTCAATCTATACTTTACCCAATGTATTGTCAGCATTGAAACAGGGATTTCAGGCCTTTTGAATGCGACTAGTACAGTAATACCCCGCTTTCAAAGAACATGAGTTTTAAGAAGATTTTAGGCAAAAACCTAGGCTGAAGTTGGGTTGCGATTTACTATAATTATATTCTTCGTTTGCAATATACGTCACAGCCGCCATCTTGGTTGAACTTCAACAAAGGATTTCTAATTAGTATCTATTGTTCATTCAACCAACATGGCCGGCGGTCTTTTATCTTTTGAATCTCATGAGGATGATTGAAAACGAGCAATTGAGCGTTTTCAGTTTCCAGACCTGTGGCGTCAATGAACATGGGTATTTACGACGATAGTTTATTGGTGCTGTTGCTTTCACTGTCCTACACTGCATTGACCACTAAAGCAGGTACGTTTTAAGCATTTCTAACAATAATTACAATGGATATAATATAATGATAATAATTTCAACAGAACTTCCTTTAAAAGGATACTCATGGCTTTCACTATATACTTGGTGGAAACTAACATAAATCAGACCCTCTAGACTGTAGTCACATCAAAATGCACTGTGATTCTAGAAAAAATAAAAGAAATAATATCAAAATTTATTAATAATCTACGCAAGGCCCACAAAGTAGGATTTTTCATATTATGTCATATAATCAACTCGTTAAAATGCAATAGGCGATCTCTCATAATTCATCGCTAAGGGGCAGGGCGTTGGAATATAGAGAGGGGCGAGGGGAGGTTTGTTTATCATTTCTCCTGTTCAGAAATGGGGTATTGATCGACCACTAAAGGGTATCCATTTCAGGGCCATAGCCAGGGAAAAACACTTACCTCTACATAAAAAGGTTTATTYATTCATTCATTCATTCTCTACATAAAAGCAAAAGATCCATTTAGAGCTAGAAAAAAAAATCATCAGAATTTTCGCCAAAAAAGATGCACTATAACAAGGACGACTATAGGAAGATTGAAAATCGATTGAAATACCTACCGAATAACGAGAAACGCTAGATTGATTCCATAAGTCGTAGTTTTCGCTCCTCTGTTTTTTCGGTTTGTCGCGAAACTAGCGCGACGGACCCCGTGAGCGACAAAAACTCTGACAGAGAGCGAACTGGGACCGACTTATGGAATCAGTCTAACGAAAAACGTAAGATTTACATGCAGTTTTTGAGTTTGTTTCAAATCGTTTTAAAAATGAATTCATTTTATGACAAACAGTTTTCTTGCGAATTGAACATTCGCCACTACAAGCAAAAACCTTTATAWATTTACCTAGTCTATTGATACTTTTTACAGGCGAGGTGTTTCGCAGTGATTACGAACCTAAGCGACTCGGTTGCTTTAGATCGAAAAACGGCAAAGTCACTCCTTTGCAGCAGCTCATTTTAACAGATCGCGATAAAACATCAAGGCATTATAGTGGGAAAAAAATCGATTGGGGGAATTGGAACTCTTACATTCAAGACTTTGCTTTTCGATGTGCTAAGGAAGCTGATAAAAAGGGATATAAAGTCATTGGTCTTCAGTTTTACGGTAGGTTATTGTAGATAACCAGACTGCTATATCTATTGTTGAGTGTTTCAATAATGTCAGAGAAATACAACTATTTCAAAAAACGTTGTCGTCACCAAGACGCACTGCACAATCTTGAGCCTGCAACTAGAATCTTGGTGTTTCCATGCGTAATTAATATAGCACCACATAATAGTCCCATGAGAACCGGTATTAGTGAACAGTAGATGTATACCACTCCCCCGTGCTGCAAGCATAGATCACTAAAGAGTGACAGCCTGAAACGTGACTAATATAKAGAACATTTACTACTTTAACATTAAATGTGTCCCAATTGAGTCTATCTAGCCTCCTCCGCAGGCATCACTAAGAATCAGGGGCTTCTTGTCTTTTTGAGGAGTCAAAAGAGGGAGAATGGGGGCGAGAAAAGGGGAGCGTGTGTCCTCCTCTTTTTATTTTTCCTATCTCGTCACTAGTCCCTAACGGCCATTATGACCGTTACAAAGGAAGCCCAAAGGAGGAAAAAAGAGTTGCCTGTGGAGGAGGCTAGAGTCTATCTTAAGAAGCGTATCGACAAATACTTTACTACTTTTAAGTTTAAAAACTCCTACACTCAAAATAAGCGCTTTGCAAAGTATTCTGGAAGTACTGTTGTTTTTTTTTCTTTATCACTCCTCATAAATTCTTAATGGTAAAAAAGTGTTTGATCACTTTGAAGAATTAGTATTGGGGACAAGCTTTTGAAGGCAAGAATTAATTAAAAGTTCCGAGGTGAACTTTAAAGTCGRATACATCAAAAAATGCATGGCAAGGCACTATTTTACCTTTTGAAATGACCATTGAGTAAAATAATTGATTTCYTGCATGGCTATAGAGTTGTTGACATTTTACTTTTTGATAAGCAGCTAACGAGTTTTATTCCTATTGTCAGGAGAATGTTGGAGCAGCTCCACTGCTACACCAGAAATGTTCACTTCAAGTTTTGCTTCCACAAAATGTACAGGCAAGTTTTACAAAACTTGTGGTCCAGATGAAAAATACTGCGTGGGACAAGGACATGCAAACTTTGTGTACAATTTGATAAAAGGTATCATGTTGGGCATAAATTCAACTAATAGGTTGTGTGGTGCAAAAATTACTTGGGAACCTAGGGTGCTTTCCATTTAGGCAGAACTGGCCGGCCAGTCCGCTCTATTTAGAGGTATACAATGCTTTTTGTCAACATTTTCCAATCATTTCGAGATTTTATGTAGAATAATGGATAGAATTTGAAAATTTGAATTTGCTAACTATATGGAATGTTCTCTGGGTCTGGCCAGCCAGTTCTGACAAATAATGGAAAGCGCACCTAATTATACGGCATATTAAATCTGTTTAAAGAATTATTAAAATAATTCAGCGGCCATGCTGAATGTATTAACTGCATGCGCATAAACAAGAGGTCAAAGTGAATACATATGCATTTTCCAAACTCGGGTTTTTTTTACACCATGCTTTTGATTTTTCCATTAGTACCGCCACGATGGGAAGTCATTTTTGACTTTGAGAAAGGAAGTGCTTCTCTTTCTCAGTGGAAACAAACTGGCACCGCGTTCAAAAACCAGCCAACTTATGGCGACAATCCTACCGCAAGAAACAGACCAGAACCCTCTAATCACCAGGGAGACTTTTGGATAGGAGGAGCAGAAAACCGACCAAATAAGACCTATAAGGCTGGACAAGTACAGGGAGATGGTCCAAAAGGAACTTTGACATCACCATCTTTTTACCTAAATGGAAACAAACTAAGATTTCTGATTGGTGGAGGCTGTGATATCAAAATAGAGCGAGTGGAGTTGATCGTCGACGGGAGAGCAGTTAAATCGGCAACCGGAAAATGCAAAGAAAGTATGGACGTCCACGAATGGACCGTCAGCTGTTTCACAGGGAAAGAGGCTCGTATAAGACTGGTRGACTCTAGCAGTGGTAATTGGGCTCATATCAATTTTGATCAGCTTGAGATATGGACCGACAAAAAACACTTGTCAGGTAAGTGGAAAGGTAGAACAAACAATAAAATGATTGTGCGGAAAAGCAGTTATCTTTCTTGGCGATGACACCTAACAAATGTGGTTTGAAGAATATTTTCAAAACAGACTGGTTAGGTTTGGCCTGTCAAAGAGTAGTATATAAGAAACGCAGTTTGTGTCCCCACATATGAAGCCATCTTGGAAAAAGACAGATCGAAAAATGAGATTTTCAATTGATGAGGAAAACTTAAGCACTTTGTATACTCGGACAAGGCCTCGAGAAGTGAACATTTTTAAAAAAGCATGAAACGGGGCTAAAATCTAGAGTGCTGGCAGATTACCTTTTACGGAACTTCAGACATCTATATTTCGTGGCATAAGTTTTGTCAATTGCTAATTAGTCATAAAATCATGCGGTTTATTTCTCAAACTGCAGATTGGTGTCCTTTGTTTGACTTCGAGAAAGGAAGAGCTTCTATGGCGGATTGGACTCTTACTGGCACGGTCTTCAATAACCAACCAACTTATGGAGACAATCCCACCGCAAGAAACAGAGGAGAACCTTCTAACCACAAGGGAGACTGGTGGATTGGAGGCTCTGAAAACCGACCAAATAAAACTTCTAAGGCTGGAGAAATACAAGGAGATGAACCGTTCGGAAACGCTACATCGCCAACATTTGTCATCAAGGGAAACAAGCTGAGATTCCTGATCGGTGGAGGCTGTGATATAAACTTTGAGCGAGTAGAGTTACTGGTTGACGCAGTGGTAGTTAAAAAGGCAACTGGAAAATGCACGGAAAGTATGGCCGTACAGGAATGGGATGTTGGTGCTTACAAGGGAAAGAAAGCCCAAGTGCGATTGGTTGACAAATACATGGAGAGTAACATATGGTCACACATCAATTGTGACCAGTTTGAAGTTTATCAGTAAAGAAGGGTAGTGAAGTTAAGTTTAATCACAAAAAGGGGTTAAATAATATTCATATTATGAACTTTAAGTACTTGTCTTTCGGTTTACATTAATTCAGTATTATATTCAGATTTTTTGGTCTATTTAACAATTAGATCTCGAGGTCGAGTGGACTACGAGCTAATAGCCCATGTGGCCGAGTCCAGTTGACTGGAATCCCTACGGCCATCTAAACTCCCCCAGGGACCTTAGTTTCTATTCCTTTGTTTTCTATGTTTTCAATTCACTTCCGGTTTACGTCGTACTAGGATCTATTAGTCAAAGAAGCACGGTGGAATGGCTTTTGTACCTATCATTGAGTGCTCGAACGATCGTTTAGCTGTCACCATTTTGAATATTAGTGAATGTTTATCCGCTGACCTTGTTTAACAGCTCTGTTCCAAGGGTGTGGCCAAGTTGATCACGTATTTAATTTTTACAGGCACGTATAATAAAGATAAAGAATGGAGTAGTACTTATTCATTATATATTCGCCATAATGGTTCTTGTATATCAAATGCAARTCATGGCGGCTGTCGTAATTAGGACTTTGGCATTCGGAGAGGGAAATTAGAACTGAGGCTTCTCCTRAAATTTTTCTGTTTCACCTCAAACTACAGCAAMCTATTTAGCCCTTAGAAGTTTAAGGTTTCTCAAAGTGTTTTACCATAATTTCTATCTGGTTCTTCAGTGAAAGGTGTTTATTTTTAATTGATGTTTAAACTGATTCAAAGCTGAATAAAGATTAAGCCTAGAGCAGAAACACTAAGTAACCAACAGCGCTGCCATACTGGATATTCAATAATTTTAAATTTGAATGTTCCTTTAACAGGGGCGGATCCAGAATTTTCTTCGGGGAGGGATTTGGTTAGTCTCATTCGTAGCCTCCCCTTTTGTCGGGCTTCCTGTTCGACGTTTCGATAAATACTCTGGAAAAAATCGCACGCTTAAAAGGTTGTAAATTTGATGTATAGAGCGGATTTCGTATGAGTGGGACACCGTTACCGCACGGTTACCGCACAGTTACYGCACCTGGCCTGCACAATTTTGGTGAACCAAAGGGGCACTAGAATTTGGTTACAGTACGATTACGGTCACAGTACAGTACCGTCCGTTTCCCACTCATACGAAATCCGCTCTATATGATGTAAGTGTCCAAAATGATGTAAATTTGATGTAAATCATTTCCATCAAATTTACAACCTTTATGGCGCGCGATTTTTTCCAGTGAAYATCTTATTTTATTATTATTTTCGCGCGGAGTATAAGAACACGGCGGACAGATGGAACTGTAACTAAGGACAACCTCGTTCCCAAAAAAATGGCGGACAAAGAAAGCCATGGCATCTTCCCGTCAAGTGACACCTACTATAGCTATGTGTTTCATGAATTATTTGGAATACCGCTGAATGTAGGCGCTCTTTATATGATAATATGGCGGAGCAAGGCTGCCATTTTTGGAAAATAAATAAATTGACTCATTTTTTCAGATAACGAAAATTTTAAAAAGAGCCACTAATCAATCACTAAGCAAACACATTATCATCATGATGTGAAAACATTTCTGAAAAGCTAATATCATAAAATCGTTTTAATGCATACTGAAAGTTTCCCATGCCATTCATCAATTACTTCCAGAAAACTAGTTCGTCAAAGGGAATCAAAGGGAAGGATAAAACTGGTCATTTTCGAGGATTTTCAACTTTAATATGCAGTTAGCAAAATACGGCCCTAAAGGGACTGCGCAATAATTATCAGGATGTGGGTTGAGAAATGAGTGAGAAAAGCGGGAAAGTTAGTGGCGTCGCCCCCTCACAAACGAAAAACAAAACTTTGCCAGCAAACCATAACATAGTCGAAAAATAAACTACTACCCCTCAACCTTCGCCTCCCTTGTTTAGATTTAAAAGAACGTCTATGTCTATCCATACGAACCGTGGTCTAATTGAAAAATTAAGAGAGAAGCTTAGAACTTAATTTAATAAGTGGAGGGAGACGTACAGGCATAAGACGTGCTCCTCTACATTTCCTTTTCCATTTTCTATATGCATGGAAAGGAACAAATGAAACCTGTTAAAAAAGCATCTAGTAAAGATACAGTTTCTGAAATGATATTTGAGGTTGCTGCAGGTCGCGAAAGAAAAACGCCGCAGCAGGCAGCCTGACTATTAATCCCGTGATCTGATCAGCGGGTTAAACGATAATGGCGTTGCAGCACAGGAATCCACATTTTCAAGTTCACGAGCGCGCACAAATAATAGATTTATACTCCATTTTTTTATTTTTACATGAAAACTAAACCCTATAAAATACTTGATATTATATGTTGTCCAGAGCTGGACACTCTCTTATCCTTGCAAGCGCGGAATTGAAATTATTGGAATGGAATCAGCATGAAACGCTCTGAGTACCAACATTATTATGACCTGATTATTGCTGAGGGCGCTCGTTAATTTTTGTTTCTTTTTTTGTCTTTCCAACTGCTACACAGTTTGAATTGAGAGAAGTAGGTCTAGTTTGGGACTATATATTTTATATGGATACAGCTTTCGCCATTGATAGTTGGGTTTCCTGTGGCAGGAAATCCAAATGTTCTAAAACTTAGGCACAGGCAGCCCAAATACCTAAGCAGATTCAGGGCAATTTTCTGTTTGTCATATTTGTGTCATTTGCAATTTCTTGAATACATACACAAGTTGCAAAGATGGCAGAATTCAAAATAAACACAYACCAAAAAAATGACTGAATAAGGCAAATAGGAAAAATGTGTGGGGAAATGCAAAGGAAGCTGCCCGCTGATATATGTAATAATATATGATTGTCTGGTTCCAAAATGTGGAACCATCAAGATAGGATGGCAGTGGACTTTTAGTGGAAATAAGGATGTTAACATGAACAATATTATCAGTGGAGGGTGTTCAGGCAAGACAAAGTGAAATATTCCTGGTGAGACAGCATTGCATTACTGGTACACAAAGGACAGTAGTATTAAATTTAGCTGCAACTCTTTGAGTGATACTGACATTATACTCATCTTTTGCTCTGCAAAGCTATATTTTGTTTTAGCTCGATGAATTCACTCTTTGAAATTGTATATATATCTTGAATATTATAATAATTATTCCCCTTACCCATTATGATGCCACAGCATATGTTGATGAGGGACCTGATTTAGGGACCTGATTTACACAGACTTTGAAGCCCGGGGGGGTGGGGGGGGGGGTAGTACTCCCCTATATTCGCTATACGGTGGCGTGCCGCCAAACAGGGTATCGTTTTCGGCGATTTTACTCTGGAACAGGCTATCATTTTTAGCGATTTTACTCTGGAACAGGGTATCGATTTCACTGATTTTTCTCTGGAGCAGGGTCAGCGTCGTTTAATTCCAGAATTATCGATGCTGGGTAAAAATTCACGGGTTAAAAATTCGGTCTACAYGCAGACTAGTGCTGTATTTTACTGTGGAACAGGGTATAGTTTTCAGCGATTTCACTTTGGCAGGGTCAGAGTTTTGAGGTCCCAGTGGCACACCCCCACCCAAGTTTGAAGGGAGTACCCCTCCTCCCCGGAAACAAAAGTTCTTCCACAACCATATAAACAATCATGCACATGCAACTGAAAGGCACACCATCTGTGAAATGAAACTTGATACTTTACAGTTAAGTCATTAAGCCTGTGAAACAAAACTTTTTAAAACTATTAAAGTGTCATATGCAAATAGACAAAATATCTATTTCAATTTTTTTTACTTTTATATGTAAATAGTTTGTATCACTGAAGCAGAACAGCACAAACAAGTAGATATCTTTGGGTTCTTCATGCTTGGGTAAATCTTCAGTTAGCTACTAAATAGTGCGTAACTAGATCCCTAGATACAGTTGCTTGTCTTTAAGACACACTGGCCTGCGTGCTGCCGAACCAAATATATTAATTGCTGTTGTTACATCTTTTTGATAATTTAAACTTTTCTTTTCTGTTTATTTTGATAAAGCTTGTCACTCTTTTCTCTAGTTCATCATCATCAATTAAAAAGAAAATTTTTATAATAGGGCAATTGATACTTTTTTGGGGTATATCATGTAAGACTATATTCATTTTGTGACATTAGAGATCAAATCACTCTGTGTCCTTTTTGGACACTGTTAAGCATTGACTGGCCATTCACTTTTGTAAATGTGGTTGGCCCTAAAAAGGGCCTGTGTGAATTGTGTGTGCATTGTACTTGATCCAGGTTCTTCTTTGCTTGGTAGGACTTGAAGCCACCACTTTCTTAAACTCTTTCTCATAATTGAAGGGCTCTAAAATGGAGCCTTGTGCTTTCCTCTTATAATCCCCTTTTTCTTTTCTTTCTTTTCTCTGGTGATCCATACTGTCTGCTTTGTTTCTCTTCATACCAAGCCTCGTCTTCTTGTACGTCTCCATCTTTTCAAATTGACTTAATAACCTTAGCTTTTTTCAAGTCCTATCAATAATGTCCAGTCCTTATATTACAATCATAAAGCAATATGCCAGTATGGCTTGTCTATAAATATTCAGTCACATCCGGTCTTAATGTAAGTCATATCCTAGATTGAAAAAATATGTAAGCTATATATAAACCTATGTATGAAAAATTACTATTTCTAACAGCTAGTACTGAAAATCAACTTAAACACACCATATAAAAAAACACAATAGCAAAAAAAAGTCTAGTTGACAAAACTGAAAAGAACTAGGCAATGAAAATCAGTTTGGCAAACAGACTAGTTTTTAAACCCCTTACTGGTTTACTAGTATAATACGTTCCCTAAAATCCTTCGATTCTGACTGTTCAAAACAAAAATGTAAGTATTAAGTTAACGGTTTATCGAGCAGAAAAAAGTGATCTAGGTTCAAAGCGAAAAATAAATTTCAAAGTCAAATTACAGCTACAATCGATTATATACTTAAAAACAAGGAGAAAACTTAATTCCGAGTGTTTAAAATGTACAAGACGGAATTCTCTAGTCTAAGCAGAACACGATGAACGAACGACAAACGATAGAATTTGTTATAACACGAACGAATTATTCAATAATCTTATATACAAATATACAAATTTGTACAAAAGATACAAATTTGAAACCCTAATAATTTTCTTTAGTCCTTTTTACACGACGTATCACTACCAAGCGATGTAGTTTCGCTTTGTCTTTGTTGAAGTTTTTCTATGACGCCACATGTAGCAGACTTCGTAGGTGCTGTGTCATGGCTGCGACATCGGGTTCAAGGTTGAAGTCGGAGTAAGAAAGCCAATGTGATGGTGGCTTGGGAAGTACACTAGGTGGAGGTGGACTACTAAACTTTGGTCCAGCATAGTGTGTCTCCGGTGAGCAGGAGCCCACCGAATCCCGGTGTTTTCGACGAGGAATGAGAACACTGCTAGAAGCGTCGTTTGGCGAACTTGACTCAATCGATGTGGCGTCGTGAAAACCTTTCGTTTTGAAGGTCCTTTCGTTTTTTACACGGTTGTTCTTCCTAGGAGAACACTTTCTTCGAAAATTTTTGGCCCTAAGAGGGCTTTCTGTCGGATTTAAGGATCCAAATGTCATCTTTTCAGTCGGTTGATTCGGGAAGCTTTGTGTTTTTTTCCGTCTTTGTTCTTCTTGAACTAGTTAGAAATACACTCCGCTTAAAATCGTTATTTTGATGCAAAGGGAAGGAAACTTTCGGTGTGGACTACAGGATTGCCTTGAAAGACAAAACAAGATGTATCTTTCAAACCAGGAGCGAAAAATTTCGCCCACACAACAGCCTCTATACCAAGGTAGAAATAAAGTGAATATGCCTTGAAACACAATTTGCTTTCTTATCTTACAAGATTGTCAGGTGACATTGTCGTCAAAGGCTTCCTAGCAACATCCAATCATATTTCAAGTTCTTGTCACACCTAGGCACGTGGAAGCCTTATGATTGGCTGGAAGTGACGCCATCAGGAGGAAATAATGAAACACCTTGGGATTATTTTTGGAATCTCAGGGGATTTTTGAGATGGAGCACGTACTGTTGGTCGAAAAAATTTCTGCACTCTTCTCGAATAGATTTTTAACGAATTCAAAATGCAGTCCATCATTTGGCTTGTTTAGATCATTCTATGAATAAGAAATCGTATTTATATCGATAATACTATAGACTCTATACGGGAAAATGCGTTATCAATATAAGCGCATATTTTGTTATGCAAAACGGCTCTTTTGATTTTAGACTTCGTGTCTCCCTTTTAGTCGAGTGGACTGATAAACTACTGATTATTTTGAGTCAAATGGTTTGTCCAACTCTAACAATGATCGAATTTCAAAATAAAATTTGAAAATCCACCAAACCGCGAAGGTTTCTTTAATATTTTAGCTCTTTTTGTTTGCCGTTTTATGTTACTAAACATCATTTTGTGATTGGCTAAGATGTGTAGTCGGTCAGTCGGCAGATGTGCTTATCCAATGACCAACTCGAACACTAACAAAAGGCTTTTGTGTGCCATTTCCTCTTGGGAGGTTATATTGACCACTAGAATCTTTTCATTCTTTGGTAAATAAGACTTAAACGTGAAAACAAAACAAAACAAAAAAAGAGAGAATATGTATGAATAGCTATTCGCATCACATTACTGATCAATCCACCATAAAAGCTGGTAAAATAAGGTGTTATTCCGTGAGCTACTCGAAAAGATTCGTTCGGTAACGTCACATGTCCTCTTGGAATTCTGAGTCGCTTTTACCACAAAACAAAGAGAAGAGTATGTTGTTTTTCTCCCGATGTTGTCACGATCGACACTAACCGGAAGTGAGCAAGCGTCACATCATATAAACATCTTCAAAACTCAGTAAAATGACCTCCATACCTTTAATTTTTTTTAATGCAGATTTCATTTATAGTAGCTTACTAGCCTGATTAATCCTCAATTTCGAGCTAGGGATAGACGCGAAACAAAAGATACCATGCTTTGAAACGATTCTGCGCGCATAAATGTTATTTTAGCTCATTGTTGGCTTTCGCTCATCTGACATTGCATTTCTTATCTAGGAATAAATTTAAAAACCCTCTCGGCTATCCATCATGAGGTATAAATCTCTACCTATAGTCCCGAGGATTGGTCGAGAAATAGGTGATTATATCGCAAGAGCGGAGCTCCCTTAGCAGTGGGCAGGGTTTCTCGAGGATGCCAAGTGACGTCACAATGCAATTAGCGTGATGTCAAATGTCAACAAAAGAGATGGAAGGCTCTCCATTGATTAATTCTACAAAGCGGAACCGCGAGTTTGTCCACATGCACGCTTGAAGTTTGGCTGCTCACATTTCCTTCAAGTAAGACAGAGATCTTCGAGGCCTTCTAACTGGTCTTGAACTGTATTATTTTGTAATATAGAGGGTCAAAGTGTGGCAGGCTGAATTGTTTGCTCGATAACTTTATACCTGAGCAAGGCCCATCGCCAAGGTATGCTAGATTGTATTCCTAAACCTCTACTAAGTGAAATAATTTCACAAATACTGATCGTTTAAGAAAAAACACAATCCATTCAACATCTTAAGCTTCATTCAATTCACCAACTAGATATAGATGAAAGAATACTTTAAAACTCCAAAGAATTCGCCACCCCGAATGTTGTTTTGTGAACGATCTCTACTTCTCATACCATGAAACATGAGCTGATCAGTTTTGGATGTTTGAACACAAGGCGGTCTGATAATTTCTTTCTTGGCTACATCTAAGTCCACTGTGTGAACTACAAAAACATGAAAAGACTGGATACAAACCTTCGCTGATAGAAAATTTACCGGTCACTGAAAACATCCAATTTCCACAGCACTTGGCCGTGGAAGACCGTAGACGCTCAACCCACTCGATCTGCGCGCGCGGACCTCTGTTTTCTCTGATTCTCAAATAACACATATTAGTGGCTAAAGAAATATCATTTTAGTTTAAGATTCCTTAGTTTTGCAACATATAGAGATTCATCACTCCATCGTTTCCAAAGAAACTGTACCGCTTGTGATCTACAATAAAATTTTGGTTATTCTGCAAGGTGATCATTCYTCGTCAAGCCAGACCTCATAGCGCTCAAAACTGTATTTTAGAGCTGTTGTTCCTTGTGTGTTGTTCCATTCTACATCTTCTAGACGGTATATTGCACCCTGTTTTAAGGAATTTGTACTTTCGAATCAATGTAAGCTTACTTGGACAAGTTTCGTAGTCAATAATTCAACTTCCTACAAGCCCAGAGCTTTCTGAATCAAAAGGTAGTTTGTTAAATTATTTCATATGTAGTAGAAAACTATGAAAGACCAAGATTTAACTCAATCATACAGTAGAAAATAACATTCATGTCTAAAATGAGCCTTAGGTTACATGTTGTCATGTTTTTTTCTCGCATTCTAACTCTGTTCAGCGTGGGAAAAGTGCAATTTCGATGCACAAAGCCCAGCAGGGAAGGTTAATCTAAAAACTCTCAGTCACAACGTCTTTTCTAGAAGAAATCTCTTGCTTTGAAGTTTATTTCTGCTTTGAAGTAATAGCGCAACTGGTATCTATACTAGTTTTGCCGAGGAAAACCTTTCTTTATTGGCATGCAAATGAGAAGGCCTTCAGGCGATTCGATTCGCTTTTCATTTTGTTCACGAGTGACTCAAAGACCCAATTATTTCTCTTTTAATTTAGCATTTTCCCGCTCAAAATCGCACGTTTTTGCCAATATAAACTCGTCAAACGATTTCTTTTACTAAATTGTCCTCTGCAGTTCTTCAAAGGAAAAAATTACTAAAAAATGTTGTTATAAATTGGTTCAAATGTATGTATTCTCTCCTCTCATGCATAAATTACATGCGAGATATGTACTGTGGATATTCTACCGATAAGATGACCTTAATATTTAGAAATTTCGAGGAATCGACAGAGAGAATTTTCATTTGTTATTTTACTGTAAAATCAAGAGGTTAAGTTTTCAGTAGCTCAGACAAGAATTTCAAGATTCTTGATTGAAACATCGTTCGAAGCVACTGAAGTGCATAAAACTTTTATTCTCAGCCACGGCTTGATTTGTGGTGAAGGTATCGATAATGTTGTCACGCTTTGCTTGTGACCTGAACCCTCTCGCACCCAAGCGCGGTAGTCTTAAAAAGCAGATTTTCTCATGGTTGAACTTTCCATTTCGAAAACAGATTATACACTGAATGTTTCCAATGAAAAATGAAGATGGAATCTTTAGAATAATGTGTATACAATATTTTGAAAGGCAATTATTGACGGATGTATTATTTGGTTCCGTTTCAAAAGTTCTTTATTTCCTTGCATAATCCCTTTGTTCACATTCATTTTACATCTCCAGAAAAATCTAACAATAACAAATTTCCCTAACACAGTATTGGAAATGACACCATAGATTTAAAGTTGGCCTTTTTGTTTTGTTTCGTTTTTTTATAACTTCTCCCATTTTATTTTCATTTATCCAAAATTCTGCTCTCACTAATTTTATGCCTTTGAGATCAATATCCTACTTTTGAGAGGGCTTATCTTTTAGTTGGCCAGAAATGGACTTCCAGCTGACTCTACTCTGTATTTGCTGAACAGAAAAGTGGTATTTGAGAGAGTTGGTGTATTCAAATTGACAACAAAGTAGAGAGACTTGTACAAACTGAATTTTAGATCAGCTGTTCTATTTTTGTTGAAACTTCTATTTTAAATAAACYATGTCAAAACCTTTGAATCTTAAAGATTTTGTATCGATGCTGTTATGTGGATTTTCTTTTAATTGGTGGAGTTCTTACTTACAAAGTAATTTGTTGTATAGAGGTGACAGAGTAGGTCTCTTCGTTGTATTCTTAAGTTGAATAGCATTGCCATTGTTACTGTGGTAACAATGGTCTTTTCATGATGTATGGCCATCAGGGTTTGCTCATTAAAAACTTTTTTTCTCATCAAACAAAAAGTAAAATCATAAAATAAGGCATGAAAAAATCAATTTTAACCTCTTTAAAAAATTAAATGATGGTTAATTTCAGTTGAAATAGCATAAATCCCATGATTCATGCCATTGTCTTTACCTTTTCTTTAGGATAGTAAGAAATGGCAAGAACAGCTCAAACTCCTTCAACACCATTAGAGCATCCTTTATTATCATGTAGTGCATTTTCAAAGGTAAAAATCCTTTAAAAACATCTAAATATTTAATCCTTATAAAGTTGAAATTTAAGATAAAAGGAGGATTTTAATCTTATTATTTTGATGTAAACAGTAACTCTAAAAATGTATAACAGCTTTGGTGTACCATCTGGCCCTTATCAGCCACACTTAAATGACATGTTTGGGAAAATGAACAATTTATTTTAAAACTCTCCATTTTACTTCTCATCAATTAAATATTGTTATTTCTTGCCAATGTAGTATATTCCACAGTATCATTTTTTGGGGTTTAAAACTGAAAAGGGATCAGTGAACAATTTTTTCAGCTGGTCAAAATATTTAGCATTGTTTTCTTTGAGTTGAAGTGCTGTGAGTATTGACCATTGTCTATCTAAGTACCATAAAAGCATAATAACATACTTTATTTCCACTCCATTCAGAGCCATGCTTGCTGTGCTCATTGAATAATGACACTTATCAAAATCCAATTTTTTATCAATAAAATGCATGCTATTACTGGAATGTTTTTAGCTATATTTATGTATCTAGAGAAGGTCCTAATGTTCATATATTTTCTCTTTTTTGATTATTTCCATGTCAAATGTACTTTTGTAGTTCACACCAAATTTATTTTCCTTTGGAATAAGAAAATTAACTTTGGAAAAAACTAGAATTTCATGACAGTACTCTACAAAATTTTGCTAGAACTTAGATCACTAAGATTGAGCCAGTTTGTAGACTTCCATTCATCTTATCTTCAGCTTTAATATTATGCTATATTATATKACACTGCATAGATATTAAATTGTGGTATCATAATATGGTATATTGTACAACATCTCATTTTCTACAGAAAATCTTTTACACCTCATTTGTGGTCTGTACAATTCTAAGGCATTTTATTCAGACTTCTACGATTATTAAAATGAGGATTTTGCCATAATATCAAATTTCAAGTCAGTTTTAGAATAAAACTGCATATGTTTCTTGATTGAGAGCAGAAGAGAAGCAAGCTGAAAAACAGGAAATGAGCTAAATGTAAATCTTTGTCATTCCTCTCTAGTTTTCTCTATATTCCCATTGTGTTTATATCAGAGAGCAAAGGAACAAATGGCTATTTTATATTTCTTTTGAAAAAARTTGTCATGTACATAAATACAGTCATCAGCATATGAAAGCTCGATCATTTTATTCCAAAAWTTTTATAAAAGTTTCAAAAAAATACTGTCTGGGAGAATGGCAAACAGTGATTGTCGAAGGGAGATTGCTTGACTGAAAGTACAAATTGTTGAGTTCACCTTGTGTGACAGTATATCAGTTATTACTGGAGTAGAGGTTGTCATACGACTTCCATATATGGATGTCCATATGCATGGCTCTAATGTACCTATAGAAGGCTCTCATGTCCCTATAGGACGGTTCATTAATTATATATTCAATCTTATGTTTATATAAGTGGTTGTTCATGCATATGCATGCCGTTGCATAAATATTGCAAAAAAATCAGGTTGACTTGGTCTCGTGGCTTAATGGTTAGGTTTAGGGAAAATATCGGGTTAGGCAACGCATAGTGCTGGTTTGAATCTTAGTACTCGTCCTTCAAAAATTTCTTTTCGGTTTAAGTTTAAGTCTTTGAAATTTTCTAAGTTCTTCTCCACATAATTGGGACATCAGAGGCTTCTACGAGCACATCAGTGCCTTATATGTGCACTTCAGCGCCGTACATGCACAACCCATATGGAAGTCGTATGACTGACCCTTCTCTATAATTGTTTATAATTTAGCAAAACCCATGGCTCCCTTGGTTGTTCAACCTCCCTTCGACATTTTATCGGACAACCTTTTTTGATATTGTGCATAATAAATTATGATAACTTATAATATTSTGTTTTCATTTCAGAATGATTCAAAGTATAATTATGGTGCAACTGTTATAGATCTTACAATAGATTCACCCTCTCCTACCATGGCACACCAACCATTACAACATATGCCACACCACCAACATCCTCACTCATCAGCTTTCCACCGTGTCACCGGCCAACCATACGACAGTCATGGGTGAGTCCTGCTGAGCAGTTTTGGTAGCCTCTTTGAAGTATATCAAGGATTTGTTGTGCCTTTGATGGCATATATTCAGGATTTGTCATTGCTATAGGGATCCTTGCATCCCTCACTGCTCCTTAATTACATTATATGATGTAATAGTGATCTTTTGTTTAAAGTGTATTGGAGAAGTGTGAAAACTAATTTCTTTACAGTGCAAATCACAAGGCTGTAACCAGGCAACCAGCAGTGACCCTCATCTTCTTCCTAAAATGTTCTTGAATATCAAAGATTGAATTTGTAGTTTTTTTTTCGTCTTAACATATTTATTTGTACATTACTACATTAATTAGTACATTACTACTCGATAATTATTACTAAATATTATAAATTACTATTTACAATTGAAGAGTGCTTGGCTAAGCGAAGCCCACCAGCAGTGACCCTCATCTTCCCAAAATGTTCTTGAATACTGTATCAAAGATTGAATTTGTAGTTTTATAGAAGTGTTTTTTATCCTTAAATTGAGTGTATTATTTATTTGAATTTCAGACCAGTCAGAGGGTGCCCCTATATGCAGGCCCAAACATTGCGGGAACCACATTACCACTCCCATTATAGACCGATCCATCGAGTATCCAATCCATCATATTGTCCATCAATGGCATCTACTGTACCACTCCAACATCCACCAGTTACAGCTACACCCGTCATAATAGACCCTGAACCTTTATCAAACCATGTGCGGACAGTGCCTATAACAAGCCTTCCAAATCAATTACTAATGAATAGTGTTCCTATGGCAACACCTACTTTTGTACAACCCCCACCCAGTGAGGTAGGCATTTATTTTTGATGATCTTTTTGAATTCTTACAATATAGGAGCACATAGTTCTAAATATGGGGATGTTGTTATGATACAATTCTGATAATTGTTTATTCATCATCATCATCTGATCAGGCTAATTATTAGTGCCATTATATTAAAAATATATCAAATACATCAAAATCAGTTGTTTTCAAGAATATTAGAGTGAAGACATTTGAGCCATGAAACAAAAATTGAACATTAAAGTGTGATTGGAAATAGACACAAAAGATAACAATATAATYAGGGCATATGATTCAAGGTGCATTAGTGTCACATCAATTTCATGTTTTGTTTTGTTTGCTGTTTTTGTTTTACTTCAATCTACGACCAAAGTGTAATGATAAGCAGCTAAGAGAAAAACAAACTGTCAAACTTTTCATTTGAAATTGACTGTCTGAGCCATTTGAACAACTGTTCATGTGACATTGAATGCTTATTTTTAAGAGAGCAATAGGTTTTAGTAAAAATGAAATAAATGTGCAGAACATGGAATGATTGAATAAGTGATATGTATTTCATTTACTTGTACATGTTGTAATGTTTCAGTGTAATATATAGTAATCGTATGTATTCTTTACTTTTTGAATGATCTTGTTTTTTTTTTGTTCTTGTTCTTACAGAATCCAGAYCTTGACCCAAATGCTAGTAATCATCAACACTATCACCACCATTATCATCATCATCACCACCATCATCATCATTTTGTACAACCACCATATCAAGTACCACAACCGACACAACCTCAACCTTACCATCCCCACCCTTATCCATCGTCATCAATGGTACGTCCATTAACTGACTGTATTCAATTAAGGARAATGATTTAGTAAAATTATTTTGCCAATTCTGTCAATTATCAAGCAGATAAAAGTTACTCAAGAAAGTTCAAAACAAAGGAATTCCAACATATTACCTATATCATTAGAGAGCTTAAATGTACCAGGTTATTGATAGGACTGGATGATCAACATTGTGTTTAATTCTAGAGACAATGCCCACTAAAATTTARAAAAAAATATAGTTAAAATCAAAAGAACCAAACACTTAAGAGATTGCTAATTTAACCAAAATTGTTTTATAGTGACTAGTTGTGTAGAAAGATAAATTTAACACCATAAAAAATAGGTAAAAGAACTTAATGACATTTGAGATGTTAATCCTTATGTATTGACTACCTACCCCACTTTTACTTTTACTCCGACGAAGGATTAACGTCCGAAACATCAGTAAGTTATTTCACATACTTTTTTTACGGTGTTAAATTTATCTTTTTACATAACTGTTTCTTTAGAAACACAGACGCAGCTCACGCTAGTTTATTGCTAGTTCCCACCATTTTACCTAACCCACTGTCAATTCTGCCCGAACATTCTAAGAAAAGAATGGAAAGAAAAGATTAATCTCCAATAATTACTTGGTTTGTTTTAGAACTGTAAACCAAACGTGCATCATTAGATATAGAAAACTTTGCACATATTTCATGGATATCCCATTGGTCAAATGTTTTAATGCAATCTTTTTTCATTTTTATAGCATCATCGGCATTATAGACGATGGCAACAAAACAATGGACATCAAGAATGGTCCCAACATACCGGTCACATCCAACCACCACCGTTAATACATTCTGCTAGTGTCCAGGCTTAYCCTGACCTCCTTTACCATCTACTGTCTGTAATGTCCATGCAACCTGTGCATGCTAACCAACCGCCGCAGCCTGTATGGGAAGAGTCTTATCAACAGGAGAATTATGAGGTAGTCTTTTGTATATATTTGTCTAAAAAATGGAATATACAATACATTCAGCAAAGTGATCATTATATCATCGGTTACTTTATTGATAAACCAGAATCAAGGCTGTRAATTCTCCCAAA